ATTATATACACAAAAATATTTAAACATATAAGACGACTATGCTGTAGAGTACTTATCGCCTTTATGAACTGACCATTTCAACTCCATAAAACCCCAAGTTCTCATATTTCTTCAACATTTAAATAATTTTACTTCCTTTAAGCGCTAGCAATCCTGTTTAATTATTGTAATTCTTCTACTTCTCAGCAGATCAATGATACTCTTCTTCTCTTTTCCTTTCTTTTCTAGGCTTTTACTTTTCTTTATCTGTTTCACACCAGTAGGTAATAGTAGGTGACAGACATTTGCTCTTATGTTTAAAGCGCAACTGTCTGCCCTTCAATCGGTTCTACAATCTACAATCTACACTCGCATTTGCACCTCATTCTCTCAGTTGTATCGCTCGTCCGTATCTCGTTCGCTCTCTTGCTTTATCTCTTCGCCGCCCACTTCCTCTATGTGTTTGTATTTACCTACCTAACCAAAACGCAGCTCTGGTCGGTTTTTGCCTACCCACCGCGTTTATGTCCGCCGTGAGAACTGTGCCAGGTGAATGGCTCTCCATTGTTCTTGGCCCGTTGTTCAGCGACATTGTAAGAAACTTTGCGCTCTTTTACCTATTTTCTTGTGCAATTATTTATAATAGCGCCTGGTTTCTGCCTAGTGTCTGCTTTATTGCCATGGAGAACGCGCGCGCTCATACGCCTCGGAATTATGCAGGTAGCGTTCCGCACTTTGTCGAACCCTGCGCGCAGTTCATTAAGGGTAATGCATGCCAAAAAGATTGAAAGAAAGACAAATTGTCTGAAAAAATACACACACATTGCACACACCCACAGCGCAGACACATCAATGTAGCCAGGGAGGCAGCGCCTTAATGACAAAACGCCGCCCGTCTTCGGGCACCTGCTGCAATTCCTTAGAAATTGTTACCTTCATTTGTTGTGCAGCAACGCCTACAACAACAACAATTGCAACAACAACAGTAATGTACTGATTCTTCCAGAACATGCTCAGCTCCTTGCAATTTAGTTAAATGTTTATAAATAATTAAATTGCTGGACTCCGCTTTGGGTGCAGTTTATTGATTTTTATACCCTGTACCCGTAAAGTGGGCGTAATTGAGAATACGTGTGTGACAACAGCAGATATTTCTTTTACAATATTGCAAAATATAAAGCCATATGCTTGTTCGATACCAATCGATATACAACTTTTCTAAACCATTCTAGAGCTAGAAGAAATCCATAAATCCATAAAGTATGTCTTTATAAACCACCTCAAAACAATAGATATCTCTTTGTACCTGAATTTTGTAAGATTTAAGACCAAGCTCCTAAAGATTTAAAGATTTTATAGACTTGGGAAATATTTTATATGACATTTGAATGATATTTACAATCTGCTATGCTTCAAATAATTTATAACTTCAGCCCACTCAACTTACGGTTTGATGAAGATAACAATAAAAAATGCTGTATTCTCTTTCGTTTAGGATCCTATAGAACTTGCTGCAGGGTATCTACAAGTCAGTTACTCTCAAGCATTCTGACTTGCTTGGATTGTGCTCCCTTAAGTTTTCTAACTTTGCGGAAATGTGTGGGATCAGATGAGTTTGCTTTGGCGCTAGCTGCACAGTTCATTGCACTGACCCACTGCAGTTGCTAAGGAGCCCTTTGCTTCTTCTTCTTCTTTTTCTTCTTCTTACTATTATTGTAAGCCATACAACTAGCCGCAAGTGCCTTTAAATGATGACATTGTAGCACCTACAATAAGCATGCCCCCGCCCAACGACTTCATGCCACACCGAAGTCTTACATGTGTGTGTTTATTTCTACGGCCTGTCACATATGTCATACAGCGAGCGTCTCATATTTCCGCAGCTGATTAGCATGTGCACTTGAAGGACCCGTCTCTATATAGAGTGCGTGTGTGGCTACCGAAACCGAAGGTTGGGACACTTGAGGTGCCCGTGAGAAAAGTGCATGGCGCTGTGTTCTTTTTATGCTGTTTTATGATGTGCTAATGGGCGGTAAACATTTCGTAAGCTTCATTGATTTTTATGCATTGTTTATGGGCGGAATATCTCAAGTGGGTCACTTGAGGCCAACGTCTGTGATGAATATGTTTTCGTTTTAGCTGTGTAATTTAACATGTGTTACATAACTATAGTTTAGTTCTTCACGGCAAGTACTTATTGGCGGCTCTATAGATTGAACTGCTTTGCATTTGTCTACATATGTATATTTATTTTATTAATATATAATTTTAATTTAATCTTGTGCGATCCCATACAAATTTATATTTTGACTATACATAACAATACATTTTCTTTAGTTTCTTTTCTTTAGGAAGTTTAATCCATTTTGTGCATCGATAATTTCTATTCCAATTAATTTTTAATATCTCTATTGGATTAAAAGATTTGGTGACTATAAGTATCGTTAATATGATTTCAACTTTCTCATTTAATGTGTTTCCTGCACTTCCTGCTCCTAATTGAATCCGATTTTATATGGTCAACAAATTAATAATTAACATTTTTGTGTTGATCATTTTATCAATAGCGACGCTTTTCCGCAAACGAAAATGAAAAACTGGTCAAGTTTCGGTCGTTAGAAAAAGTGACATTTGCGATGTGGCGAAAACAAGTCGGTTCAACCACTTAGTTGGACATCGCCTAGAGAGTGAAATCTTTTGAGCGGGAAAAGTGCTCGGAAACATGTGCTGCAACTTGTGTCCAAGAGCGATTTATCAGCTAGCATCTCGCAGCGACGACAACGACAACGACAACGTCATCATTATCATTATCATCAGCCGCATCATCATTTACAAAAGCAGAGCGCCAGTCTTTTGTCATTGGTATTGGTGTAGGGGGCCTAGGGGGGGTGGAGAGTTAGGGGCATTCATGATAAATGAAATTTTCTGCACTAAATGTTGCTTTTACTTAAGACCAAAAACTTTTGTTGTCTTCCCACTGGGTGTCTGTGTGTTTGTGTGGATTATGTGGGGCGGCGTTTATCATTATTGTAATTTCTGGCCATAGGCATTTGGCCAAAACACGCACGTCTCTCTCGCTCTGGGACACTTGGCACACAGCCAAGACAACAACAACAATGAAAACACACCATAATACAACATATGTGATTGATTGTAATTGAGGTTGGAAAAAGTTGTTGTGTCAATGTCAAAGCCGGGGTGCTAAACAAAAAAGAATCTGAGTAAAAAATTGGTCTTTAACTTTGGGGGCTGTCACTTGTGAAAAACCAAAGGAGCGGCAAATTTTCTATAATTTTCATACAAGCTTTGAATGATGCAGCACATTGTGATATTATTTAGAATGAGAATTAAATGTTAGCCATTTGTCATTTAAGTTGATTAAAAGCGGAATTCAGTTGTTCAATAATGATAAATTTATAGTTGAGAAGGACGCTTAATTAAGTTTAATGTTGGATGAGTATATATAAAAGTATTATCTTTATAAGTATTTGTCTATGTTTTTTTCATAAGCACCTTATTTTATTTAAAAAAGTGCTCTATTAATAATTATCCTACGCAAAAAACGCATGGAGCAAACAATTTCTAAGGAAATGGCCAGACTTTTATTTTTGGTTTTAATAAATATTAAAAAATAACATAATCTCCTAACTAGCAGGCATAATATTCTGTATGCCATTATTTTTGAGCTTTTTTAATAAAAATAAAATCCAGTTACTCAAGTCTAGCTCTTTTCAAGTTTCAAAAGCTTGCATAGAACATAATCATAAATTAAACCTCTTTCGCAAAAAGCTTTTTGTTTAATTAACATAGAAACCCTCCCGCAAATGACCGTCAAATCCCACATTAACTCTAGACAACTTCAAGTTAAGGCCAAAAAATAAAAAAAAAAACAAAAACTTTTCAGTTGCCAGAAATTTCACTTGCGAAAGTTGTGCGCCACAATTAAAGTGGAAAAGTTAAGAGCGAAGAGCTGACCAGGTTATTTTTTTCATTTGTGTTTCTATAAAAGTGTATCTAATTTTTTTTTGTGGGGCGGAGCCGTGGCGTAATGCTTAAAAACTCAGAAGCCCGAAAGGCACATTAACACGTTTCAAATGTCTTAAATACGTTGCCAAATTATGGCAAGAAATATAAAACAAAAACTTGGGAAAGTTGGCGTATCTGGAAATATGTCAGAGTGTCAACAGCACAAAATAATGAACGAAATAATCGTAAGCAACATAATCATAATGATAATAAAATGTAGCAGAAGAAGAAGAAGAAGACAGCAGCCCAAACTTGATTGTTGTTGTAATATTATCTGGCTTTGTATCTGCAACTGCTCGCTATGATTGCCCAAGCGAGCAAATAAAGGGGTAAAGACTCCCAACTCCCCGCTTCAGTCAAAACTCTGTCTGCGAGTTTTGGCCTTATGCAATTGTCATTATTGTCTGCGGGTGTTGTTGCTGCTTTTGCTTTATGAATATTAATATATATACATATATATATATATAGAGTGTATTTTGTTATTGTCGCCCCGTTGAATGCGCAAGCAGCGCGTATCTTCAAGATGATTTTTTCAAGTGTTGTGTATTTTTTGTTTGTTGTTGTTGAAAATTTCACTGCTTCTCTTGAAATGAAGTTGTTTCAGTTTGTTTCTTCTTTCTTTTTTTTCAATTAAATGCGCCAAAAGCGTAAATTTAATTAATTTAATTGTTGCAGCAAAAGAAATGCTGTAAAAATATTTCAACTTGGCCACATTTTAAGGCTAAATTTGTGCAGGTTTCAGCCAAGTTTATTTCAGTTATTTTTAAAGCATTTTAAACGTTTGCTAGACCTTGTGTTGTGCATAATAATTAAGGAAAAAATAATGGTTTTAGTTTTTGCACTTGTTGAACATTAATTCAGTTGTTTAATTTTATGATGTATTTATTTTGTTTCTTAGTTTATGCGTAGTGCTAGGACTTCCTTAAAAGCTTAAAATTTATTTGTTTACATTTAAATTGATTTATTTAAACATTTATTAAACATTTTCTTTGCAGGCGCAATTGCTTATTAATTAACGTCGCTTAAATACTTCAAAATTCTGTTGGTAAGTTGCTTCTATTTTATTTATTATTTTTCTCAATTTCTTTTCGGAAAATTGAAATCTTATGATCTTATATCTCTTGACAACTCCTCATTCAGGAATAACAAAATAATTGTAAGCCCTTGCACTCAATGAAAATCAAAGAATTAGTATTATTCTCGGTTTTACCAGATCCCATTTATTTATCTGAACTTGCTTTTTTTTTTTGCTTTTCTTACTAGGTTTTAATAAATTGTCTAAGATTTTCTACAAGATTTGTATGGATAAATCTTGCTGAATAGTTGGTACTCTGTTAAAGCTTAGCAAAAATTTCTCACGAAGAACAAAACCTAAACTCGTATAACATTATACAGCAGTTTCCATAGGAACTCGTACAATTAACAGACGCCTACGACAAACTATGACTAATTGATGATGCTCAGCTGTGCAAACAGTTAGATGAAATGAAATAAAGAAAAAACAGCCAGCAGAAAGAACTGCTCACTTGAGCGAAAGTATTTCATATGCCATAAATTTCCATAAAGCGTTCAGCTTTAACGGGTCTGATTACTCATACGCTGGGGTTTCGCCGCTGGCGATCAAGAGAGACAAGTGAATCATCTATGAATTAAATCCGAATGTTATTTGCACTGCAATGGCAACGCTCCGAAGCGGCAAATGACGCAAATTCATTCAGCAAATTTTTTGATATTAACCAAAATCTTTTTATAAATTTATATATTTTTTTTTCCTTTTTTTTTTGTTGTCAAAAATTTTGGCAAATGATTGCATTTTTAAATACAGCACGCAGCCAGAAAATGTACGTGATTTGTATGCAAATTTGTTTTAGCGCGAAAAGTGTATCTGATGGATGCCTAAACGCGAACACTGTAGCTGTTGGATGCAAATTTTGCTATCATGACATTGGCCGCATGTTGTGCAGAGTGTTTTTCGTGTTCAAACATAAAAATTAAAATGCCTGCGGTTTGTATTTATGGTATTTTCATTTTTTATACATTTTTTTTTTTATGTTTTGTTGCGGTCTCGCTTGGCAGACGAGTGTATAAATTTTTTGTTAATACGGCCAATCGTAAAGTAGATAACTAGACCTACCAAAGAGGCAAGAAGAAAGAGTGTGCATTTATTAAAACATATTCATTTTCGAATCAGTTGTCATTGTTTGGTCATGTTTTTTTACAGTTGTCTGACACCTGCCGGCCATAGTAATCGTGGCATCGCATTATGCAATATTTGGGACAGAGTTTTATTAAATTAAATTTTGATTAATGTTTCCAGCAAGAAAACTAGTTTAAGTCGTGAGCGTATACTGTAATTTAACTGGTTGAGTGGTTTTTATGATGAAATATTGTTGTTTTATTTTTGGCATAGTCAAGATGTATTTTTGAAAGGGATTTCCTCTTAAGGGCTATTTAGAATGCTTTGAATTTTGTTTTTAATGCATTCTTAACATTTTTAAATAAATGTACATTATAACATTCTTAGCATAGATATTTTCTGGTTTTTGATGAACCAACTTCTCTTTATTATTATCTGTACTGTATTAAAATATTTCTTTATATTACTTTTCATGTTTGCAAAAATGGAATTAGTCTAATTTGAAGACTTATTATTCTTAAGAAGCCCAAGTACTAGTTTGTTATGCCAAGAACTTATTCAAGCACTGCCAATTCTACTTGTTCCTCAAATATTTATTCGATATCGTCAGGTTTATCATATACTCTAATACTCATTTTGCAAATGTTTTCGCTGACACGCTCCGAACTAGTTTTCTAAAAGTAGTTCCACAATATTAGCAACAAACTGTCTCGCCAAGAGCCACATAGCATGTTTGGTACGGTTCCAAAAGTCCGAGTACTCTGTATATCCAATTAGTTGCTTTCACATTTCGTTTCAACAGTTTACAGCCAACTGTCAACACTTCTTGTGCCGCTTTTGCCCGCACTCAATTGCCGTTTCAATGGGCCACTAAATATGTCATTCTTCATTTAAGAGCGAGATCATTTCTACGCTAGCCTCTCAGCACTTGCGAAATTATTGGGTAACAATTTCTGTCATATTTTTGGGTAGAGCTCCAAAATGTTGAAAACGCAACTAAAAAGTGACATTTGACATTTTAAGTTAAGTGCTTGCTGCAATCGCTCAAAGGCGAAAACCATTTAAAAGTTTTGTCATTGAGTGGAAAATCAAGAGAACACAGCGTCAATTTGATGATGTTATGAAAGTGAAGACTTTCAGATTTTCCAGCTAATTTAGCAGCTGTGCGTGGCAAAGTTAGGGCCAGATAAAAAAGCAAGTGAGAGTTCTCTAGTCGAGAGTGCCCGACTAGAAGATACTCTGCAAACAGCTTTTCATTAACATAAAAGGCTTTAATTTTTTTTGTTACTTTGTTACACAATATTGAAATTTTCAGCAGGGATATTTTTTGTTATTTGTTTTCCGATCGCTTAGAATGTGTCAGCTAGCAAATATGTCATTCTATATTTCAGTGGTTGCAGGGTATACATAAAATGTTGGCATTGGCTACACAGTGGAGCTGCCAATGCGTGAATGCGCCCCAGAGCAATTTAAGTCTATTGTTCTTTTTGGCCCATTAAAAGTGGCCCCAGCTACAGTGAGTGCCCCCTGCCCTGCCCTGCCCCTGGCGAACAAGTCGCACTAATGAGCGTCATGGCATGCATAATGCATGGTCGCCCGGCACCAGCACAGCCACCCACTCGACAGTAACATAATAGTGGTTGTCAAGTGCAGCGCGTCGTCGTCGTCGTCGTCATCGTCGCATGTGTAAGAGATACAAAGATACTAAGATACTTCCTTGTCCGAGAGCTCTTTGGGCCACAGTCGAGTGCGCACACGAAACTTAATGACAATATCAAATTACACACAGACGCACTGGCAGGCAGTCGGACATTCACGACAATTTGCATGACACACTTAGCCAGGCCAACTGCCAGCTGTGGGAGTGGCAATGCTTAAATCCTCAGCTGTCCGCAAGTTGAACTTACATTTAAAGCCCCTGTCGACGGCCAGTTGGCAGTTTGTCAATGACTTGTTAGCAATGCGAGGCAGTGTCCACACAAATTAATGCAATTTTCACTGACAATTTCTAAAAGCCACAACGAGTCTGAAAATGAAAGTAATTTGCAAAAAGCCACGCAGCGTCTTCTTCTTACTCAAACACAAAGATCGTGAGGCCATAAACAAACCTCAATGCAACTCGCCAAGAGAGAGAAACATGTGAAAGTCGATGATCGCTCGACCCGCTGCTGATGCTTTGGCATTTAACGGAGGGGGCACAATCGAAAGTGTGGAGTTGTCTAATGATATTTTCTAAGTTAGCCACAAATTTAGACTTGACTTTTGCGGTAATGGATTATGAGCCAAAAGCTTAATACAGGTAGCTATTTCCAAGATGAAATGAAATTAAGTATGTTTATATCTTTAGATTCTGTGCAGAAATTGGTTTAGCTTAAAGAAAATTATATAAAATAATAATATATTACCCGGAAGGGTCTCTTTTATATATCCATCAAAACAAAAACAGACATGGAATTTAAGATAAATCATTTTTGTAGCAAAAAAAACTTTAAAAAGAATTCATATTTCTTGTCATCTAAAGAATAGAAAATTCCTTGAACAGATTTATTTATACCAAAAAAGTTTCTTTGTGCATTATATCTTTGGGGCTTAAGATTTCAAGAAACTCTTGTGGCTTCTTCAAACTTTTTTCAGTTTGTCACCCCCTCCCCCCATTTCCACTTAGGTTTTACCTGCCCTACAATTATCATTTTCCTACCATATTTCCATTTCAAATTTCGCTCGCTTTGATCTATTATAGTTTTGTAATTATCTTCGCTCTCATTTCCTACACTTGGCACTTATTCATGGTCTTCCTTTCTCTTTTGCTCCATGCTGCTTAATTGATTAACTCCCACACTCTAAGCTTAAGTCTCACAGCAATTGTATATTTTATGTTTTGTCTTCCTCATTCTGGGCACAGTGCATCTTTCATGGGGTCTTTGCATGCCTTGTAAATAACTTCCAGCATACTTAGCTCAACCAATTAATCAAATAATCAAAAACAACAAAAAAGAAACTGTAAAAGGTATTCACGCGATACCTTTCCAGGCGACTCACATGGAAACCCATCGATAGCAGCTGAAGTGCTTCCTGAAAATTACTCATCGCGATTGGATCGATAAGAAGAAACATTATAAACTTAAAAGCAGTGCAAATAAAGTCAGCTTTTAATAAAAATATGCAATATATAGAAAAATATATATATAAATACTTATTTATATACATATATATGTAAATATAGGGAATGCAACTTACTGACGTCAGTGAGAGGCACTATGCGACTTACCTGGAAAGAAAGGAAATACAATATGATTAATTAACGCTGAGTCAAGTAGTATTTAAATATAATAAACAACTAAGTAGTACTTTTTGGAGTGCTTTGTGTGTACTATATGGAAAAAAGGCCTTGTGCACCAAGCATTGTAAATTTATTGATCTTAAAAATGACCAGAGCCAGCACCCACGTCATATGGGAAAATATAGATATGAGTATATATAGATACTTTTCACAGTTGGACATATAATTAAGTGCGGACAAAATGGCAAAAGATAAAGGCGCCTTTGGATCGTATATGTAGTAATATATTATAAATAGAGGCCAGCGAACTTTGAAGGTCTTAATTGGTCGCAGCATTTCCGTTAAGCGGGCGTGTGCACTGTAAAGGGTTGCCAGATCAGTGCACTGTCTGGGTTCATTTGAAGTTGGCTGCGATATGTAAGCTGTCATTAGCATTATCATAAAATTATTTGTTGATTATACAGCCAAGCAGCAGCCCAGCAGCTGGCTGCGACTTTCATCTTTAGCCAGTTGTCAGTTTTGGTTTTGATGTCCGTGTGATCTTTTCTACTCATGCTCGTTGGCTGCATCACATTGACCCTGACTGAGTGATAGGGTCGTAGCTGGCTGGCTGGCTGAGCACAGAGCG